TCTCTCTCTCTCTCTCTCTCTCTCTCTCTCTCTCTCTCTCTCTCTCTCTCTATTGCCACACTTCTGACTGACTGACTCCGCTTCGTCCCACACAGACGCAAGGATTAACCCGGCCCCGTACACCTCACGACAGGAGATCTTTTCAATAATCTAATACATGACAGTGTCATATAATGTGAGGCATCGTGGTGAAATCAGGCGTTCGTCAAAATAATGAACGTGAAGAAACTGGTATTTTTCTGCAGGGTTGTGAGATTGTATAGAATTTTTTAGGGTTGTTTTTTTTTTTTTTGGGGGGGGGGGGGCGGCTCAATACCTTTTACAGCCATTAAAGAACACATTTCTGTATTGCTTTTACTGAAAAATGTTCATTTAAGGTATAAAAATTGAATGTACATTTTCAGTTACGACGGATTCTCAAGGTAAAGAAAAAAGTGCAACTTTGGCGGTGCTGTCATTTTCTCGCTAATTTCTTTAAAAATCCAGATGACCCCCAGTTACTTCAATCGCCAATATCTTGACTCGTATACAAGATAAATGGATTTTCCATCAAAAGCACGGCAAATGGACAGGCTTTACGATGATACCAATAATTCCACATGCCCCTAAATTGATGAGCGTCTGATTCCATCGCGTCGTAACACACATGAGTACTTTAAGAGTACAAAAGTGACGAAAAGCGAAAAGTGGAGCACACACTGCGGCTTCGTTGCAGTTTTGATGATTCACACAACGTTTCTAAAATAGCTCTTCAGAATAGATAAAATGAATATAAAGAAACTGAATGCGCTTTTAATGCAACATTGGTGGTGTGTGTCTACCATTTTTGTCCCTGATCGATCGCGTAAGTTGCAAAATGTATCAATATATTATGCTTAAAAGCAGTGGCCTTGAAGTTGTTTTACTGCCAGAAATCAAATGGTGATCAAAAGAGAGGACTGAAAGAAATATCAGCCCAGTTCAAAAGTGCGCCAGACTTGTATTCCACGTATGTTTCATGTTTTTGAGACGATACATAAAAGGTTATGGGAGGAACACACAGTCAGTGAAAGGCAAAGCCAGACCAATATCTTAGCTGGCATTTTGCCTTTTCCAGATAAGCAGGTGATTAAAAAAATGTTGCATGTTACATCAACTAAGTAACATAACAGATATAATCATGAACGACTCATTTCACAGCCAATATAAGGGAGGGTTATCTTATTTATTGGTTTTTAAAAAATTTACTTTTCTTTTCTTTTTTCTTTTTTTTTTGG